TTTTTTTTTCTTAAACAAATTTCTTTCTTTCTTTCTTTCTTTCTTTCTTTCTTTCTTTTTTTAATTTAAGGCTATGTTTAGAATTACTCTTTTTAGCTCCCAGATTTATGGTGTTCATTTCGTCATACACTAATGTTTTGTGGTTATGGTTACCTTTATTTCTGAACTTTCTTACCCATAATTCTACAAGTACCACTATTTTTCTAATTGTTACTTTATAGTACGTTTTCAAATGAGGTCAAGGAAATAGCTTACATGACACTTAATTTTCAGTTGTGTTTCTTTTTATTTATCTTCATCAAGTTGATTTCCTCAGACGAACTTCAGAGTCATACTATCAAGTTCCAAAAATTTATGAATGCCTAATGATTGAAATTGTATTACATCTACTCATTATTTTAGAACAAACTATAAATGTTTGTCACCTAAACAAATTTGTATGTTTCTTGCTTTGGTCAAGCCTTCTTTTTTTTTTCTCCTCACCTGAAGACATTTTTCCATTTTTTGTTTAGATAGAGTGGGAGGGGAGAGAGGAAGAGAGGGACAGAGAGAAACATCGACCTGAAAGGGACACATCGAGTGGCTGCCACCCACACGACCAACTAGGGCTGGAGACAAACTGCAACCAAGGCACGCGCCCCTAGCAGAAACCGAACCCGGGTCTCTCTGGACCGCAGGCCGACGCTCCAACCACTGAGCCAAACTAGCCAGGGCATTCAAGTCTTCTTTTATGTCTTGGTAAAGTTTTGCATTTTTTTTCTTGCATATTTAATTTGCCCTTACCTAGAGCTGTGTTAAAGAAAAATAGGACAGGCCTTACTTGTTGTTTATCTATTGTACTTTTAACAATTTTAAATTCATACATAGATGTTATCTTGGACACATATTTTGTTGTAGATTCTACCTTCAGTTTATAAAGAATGTCATTCTTTACTTTGCTTAGTGCTTTTCTATCTTCAATATAATTTGGGCTGATATTTTATTCCTACTCTTTTGCTGTTTGACTAATACATTTTTGGATTTCTTTGAAGAAATGTCATTTTAATTTAGATAGTTCCCTTTCATTTATCATGTTACTAAATTTTATTTTTAAACACATCCTGAAGATATTTGTCTCTTTAGTGTCATGATAAAGTGGTTGTGATTTTCTCACCTTATTTTTTACATTTCATTTTTTTCTTTATGGGTTATATATTACTATATCCTCTCCCCACAAAGAGACATGTTTAGGTGTTTGTTTTTAAGAAGTATCATTCATTTATATTACCTAATTACCAAATTCAAGAATAAAATGATGCCCTATGATAATTTCCAACATAATATAAAACATATCTATTCTTCTGTTATGATTTTGTCAATATGACACATGGTTTTAGACTTAAATTACCATTATTAAAATATTTTCGATGATATATTCTCTTTTAACTACTATTTTTATATTTCCAGATAATTTTGAAACCATATTTTCACAATTATTTATATTAAATGCACCATAAAATTACAATAGCTATGGGTTTAACTGGTTTCAATGACTAGTAAAACTTTTGTCTTTTTAATTTCTATTGGTTTTTAAGTACAATGTTCACCTGCAAATATTAAAGTCCTGAACTTGAAGAGATGACCACTTTTTTCAGTGGCATTTTTTTTATTAATTAATTTATTTTTGTTACAGATATTTCTCCTTCTTTTCCCCCAGACACACTCCTCCCAATCCTCTTCCCCATCCACACCCAAGCATTATTGTCTATGTCTGGTGGTTGCTCATATATATATATATATATATATATATATATATATATATATATTCTTTGGTTTAAGGAGATGACCTCTTTTTATGACATCCATGGCTGTCACCTTAGTTTAGCCCATCAGTATCACCCATTGCAATTACTGCAAAAATCTTCTTCCAGGTTAAAATGCCAGGTTATGCCATGTCTCTCCTCTGCTCAGTTTCCTCCCTGGCTCCTCATCTCACTCAGAGAAAAACACAAACACACTTCCTTCTCTTGTGGAACAAGCACTCTGTCCTGCACTGACCTCCTGTCCTCAGAGCTACAAACACACTGGCCTCTCGCTGTCCCCTCCAAGAAGCTGAGTTCACTCACACACACCTGTGGTGGCCACCTTTCTATTACAATCTCATCCCTGGGAAGGCTGTCCCCTTGCATCCTTCTGGTTTCCTTCCCAAAACCTCCTTGTTAAGGAAACCTTTCTGGATTGTTCCACATAAAATTGTACCATGCCTCTTTCCCACAAGTAAATGCTTTGTACCTTCTCTTAACAGCAGTAGAACATAAAACAGTTGTAATCCTAGAGAAGAAGAAACTACTATCATAACTAACAAAAATGCTAAATTCTAAACAAGTAATTGTAGAGTGATTATAGAAACTGACCCTTAGGTAAAGGCGATGTGATTAGTAGAAGAGAGCTGTAAGGAATAGCTCAGACTTTTGAATGGTGGAGACAAGAGCAAATGGAACAAAGACTATGTTAGGAACGTCCGAGACCAGATGGAGGAGACAAATGTGGTGAGCGGGTTTTCTCTATTGCTCTGTGTCCCTGTCACTTGCCATGTTGATGAGTTGGTATAGTTTGTGTTCCACTGCTGTTAGAAAAAGGTACAAACCATTTATCAGCTGGGAAAAACTGGTTGATAAACCAAAGCAGCTTCCATGTTTTACTGTTTGATTTCTGACGATGTCATAGCAGCTCATTCTTGTCACAGAAGTCTGCGTATGGCCGAACAGGCTACACTTTACACTGGGGTACCTTTGCTCAATTTTCTTCATAGATTTAGCACCCCCAATCTTTATATTAATAATTTTTGGCTTTCTTTCATTTGGAAAAGCAATGAGATTAGCAAGTTGTTGCTGTTATTATTCCTAAGTCACATAAAGACTTGTAGTGCCCTCTTCTAAAGACAGATTAAACAAGGAGCAAAAATTTGGCACACTTTTTGTCAATTTTTGCATGAAAGCTCTGATTCAAAACTCACGCTTGCATGGTGGTTATTGGGATGCTGGAGAAAGTGCCCACTGAGGGCTTTGCACATTAGGTGTTTTAATTAATATTCTGTATCATCCCAGCTGGTCAGTTACACCTGTAGCGTGAGGAAGCACAGCATCTTTCCTCCTTTTAAGCGGGTGCCCATCAAGAACCGGCTGTGTTTGGAGCTAAACTTCTTTGCTGTCAAAACTGTGTCTTTCGAAACTGCTCAGTTTACTGATAAAAGGAAAATCTCACCAGCAGAGGGCTGAAAAAAAGAACGTGGCGACATCGAGAGTTGTTTGGCATCGAGAACGCAGAGAACAGTGCGAAATCTTTTGACAGCTTTTCTGTCTGAATCCTGAACCTGTGTCCTGGCTTTCTATGTCCAATCAATGTAAGCCTTTGGGGAGAGCCAAACTCATCAGTGAATTGGACAAGATCCAAAAATGACCTCTTTATGTTATGGGTTATCATTCTAGGTATATTTATCTCATTTTATCAAATAGCTTGTATAGTCATTGAGGACGAGGGCTTCCTCCACTTCGCTTACTGAGTACCATAATAATACAGGCAAAGAAACAAAAAGCAATTGTGGTCAAGATCATTGGTGCAGAGAACGCACTGGGCCAGTGAAGTACATGACCACATCTGATGTGTCACGGAGTTCTCTGGAACCCGCACCTCTTCCCAGTGTGAAGACTTGACTTTTACCTGCTAGTCCAGTGGCCCAGCAAGTAGTGAAAAAGTTACCCAGAGATTAACATGACTGTCCCTTCCCCGGCCCTACTGTCTGCCATACATCTCTGGCTCCTGGAGTCTTACATTCAATTTCCCAGGGGGAGAACACTTTGCGGATTCTGAAGGGCGAATGATAAATTATCATCTGACTCTGAAATCAGCAGGTTATGTAGAACTTTTCGAGGAAGCTCTTCGAGGGAGGGTGGAAAGGGGAATGAACGTGTGAAGTTGGAAATGGCTCTGGCTAACCACGATTCAAGTCTTCTCGGAAGTCCCTGATTCCCTGCGAGAAAGGTAGGTACCATGGAGAAAGTCTGTACTTTTAAAGTCATTGATGTCCCATTTGGTATTTTAAATAGTCATTCACAGAAGACTGCCCAGAGTGCTCCTGGTGTCCCCGGGTTTCTGACATACCTCGGGTATTTCTGAAGAGAAAGGGGAACATTTGGCGGGCTCAACTTACCGTGCTTGTCTATACTAAATGTAATTTAAGGGATCCTTTTGTACTCAGTAGTTAAATACTTCCATATAATTTTAGTTATGTGCTATAGTTGAGGAAGACATACAAAAATTCCAAATACTTCCAGAATCCCACCTTTTTCCATTTATTTTATGATATACATCAGAGGTCAGCAAACTACATCCAAAGAACAAATCTGGCCTACTGCCTGTTTTTGTAAATAAAGTTTTATTAGAACACTGCCATGCCCATTCATCTGTGTATTGTCTATGGCTGTTTTCATGCTACAACAGCACACTTGGGTAGTTGTGACAGAGATGGTCCAGGCCACAAAGCTGAAGAGATTTATTATCTGGCTCTTTACAGGAAAAGTCTGCCAACCACTTGTATATATTATACATTAGTAACAAACCTACCTATCACCAAAGATACCATAGCTTCCTTTCTTGGTAACAATCACATAATCCAGGATACAAAAAATACATTTCACTAGAATGAAATCTTGTTTCTAAAGAATTTAAGAAAATATTCGTTCCTCAAATTCAGTATTTATGTCTCTGATTTCCTTCCTAGAAACAAACTCCCACTTAAAAAAATATACACACATATTTGAAAAGTGTTCTTTTATTATTTCTAGTAACATATACTGTATAAATACTCTATTTTATATGCCCTTTAAAAATCATGATATAACTTAAGAGTTTATCATTAAAAAGAAATGTATAAAAATAAATATGTTATTATAGGCATTTATTACATACTATAGTCCTTCTTAGAAGGAACACACAAACAAATACTTATAAAGTACATAGAATTTATAGTAACGTATTTTACTATATACATATGGAAAAAGTAATTTTCTTTCATAGTAGAAGAGCTGAACAGACATTCACCAGGATATGACTGTTGGACCAGCTGCTGGGGATGGCCCTGCTACCCCTCAGTAGCTTCCCCATCATGAGACAAAGGATCTCACTGTCCCCAAACACTGGGGACCGGTTCTGCTCACCCCATTCTTGTTTTGGCATGACGGCCTTTTTGTGTGTGTGATCTTGCTGACTTTCTTGAGACTCAAACTAGTTTCCACATCCACATCCCCAGCGTAGGCTTACACAAGGAGGAGGGGGAGGTAGGAGATACTGAGCTGGGGGCACCTCCTCTGGTTTTTACCAGCACCTGACACGTCGCTGCTGTTTTCCCTTTGGAGACTTAGCCCATGTTTACAAACCCATAGAATTGTTTCTTCGTCAAAATAAATGCACAAAGACACGAGAATGGCACCAGAAGGAAATGATGGAGTCATCTGTCATCGCTAACCTTTTTTCTCCAGGGTGGACATTCTTGAATTCTTAACTCTCGGTAGAGAGGATGACATGACCTTCTCCGAAAGCATTGCAACCGTGCACAGTGCTGGTCAAAGCTCCTCTTTGCACTCCTCTCCCTCCACTGCCAGTGAGGTAAAGTAAGCCACACCTTAAACTAAGAATCTCACCTTTCTCCAGCTTTGCGGTTCCCAACCCCCAGGATACCAAGTAGTGAATCAGCACCAGGGGACAGACTGTAACGTCACCAGCAAGGTGTACTGGATCCGCCCAGCCTTCTTGATTTCAATGCCTCAGCCCTTCCTCACCTCTTCTCTCCCTCCACGCCGGGCCTGCTTAGCTGCATTCTGTCATCGTGCAAAAGTCTATGTAATGCTTCGGTTTCTTTAAGGGATCGCAGCTCTCGTGAGCCAACACCCCGCCGTCGTCGGACAGGCACTGCAAGGTTCTCTTCTTGTAGCCCTTCCCACAGGTCTTGGAGCAGGGCGACCACTCCCCCAGCTGCCAGCGGGGGCAGGGCTGGTCGTTGCAGGGCCTGGTGCTGGCTGGCTTCACCTCCTTGGCGCACTCGGCAGCGGGCTGCCCGTTGAGGTCTCGGCACTCCACCAGCCTTCTCTGCCAGCCCCGTCCGCAGGGCCTGGAGCACTCGCCCCACTCCTCAATGACCCACTCCGAGAACATCGGGATGGCATTGAACGGCTCCTTCTTCTTCTTCACGAAGTAGGTGTATTTGATCTTCGGCCGCAGGGCGTTGCCCACCGTCAGCACCTGGATGGTCAAGGGCTCCGTGAGCGGGCTGAAGCTGCGAATTCTCTCCAGCGCCGCGGACGAGCCGCTGTAGCGCAGGGCGCTGCCCTTGTGGGTGATGTCCTGCTCTAGCGTGGACAGCGTGAAGTCGCCGTTCAGGATGTACGCGCCGTCGGCCGCTTTGATGGCCAGGAAGCTCCCGGTGTTTCTGGACCCCCTCTGGCTGCGCTGCTTCACCTCGATGTTAGTGGCTCCCACGGGGATGGTGACGATGTCATGATACCCAGGTCTGCAGGCAAGAAAAACAGGTGTCAGGGCCGCTCGTTCACGGGCGATGTGTGTGGCTAAGCCTGAAACCACAGCGGTCATTTACAATAGAAGTTTGACCAGATCTGTGGAACTTTGCAGCCTAAAGGATACGACCTTTGGGAGCACGGCGTTTAAAAACTTACTTGGAACTAGTAACTGATCCTGATATTTTCTTGCATGTAGATCCATTTCCTCCACAAATGCCACATTTATCGAATTTCTTTTTGGAGTCGATGATGCGATCACAACCAGCTTTCACACACTGTCCTTGCACGCAGACAGAGGTGGAATCCGGGCTGCACGGAGTGCCGTCTACCACCTGAGCAAAGAAGATTATGCACCTGGTCACACACAGCCAGGGAAGACCTGAAGCTATGACTATAAAAGTTCTCCCATTAATGTTACGCCTCTGATTTCCAGACCATCACAGTGAAACAGTCCTCTCTCCATGTCATGCACTACCTTTCTCTTTGTCTTTTCCCCGCATAGTACATATAGACATCTGAAAAAATTACAAATTTTGTGATTATATGTTTATTGACCTATCTCACTTCTAGCTAAGTTCCATGAAAGCAGAACTTTTTGTCAATATTTTTTACTGCTGTGTCCTCAGTGCCCAGAATAATACTTGGCAACTGTAGGCGCCGAAGAAATCGCTTACTACATATTGAATCTGCAACTTGGGGATATTTTTATTGCCTACAGTGATAATGACGCCTAGCAGGCAATTTCAACCAAATTCAATGCCATGTTCTACCTCCGCTAGGTTTATCCCCTCAGCCAAACAGCAAAACATTGACGCTAGTTCAATATATGTCCTTAAACACAAAAGGTATCGAAGCTCAGACTTCCAACTGAGTAAGTCTGTTTGCACATGCTACTGCTCGTCACCCAGTAACAAGTACTTTGGACCGTGCTTAGGTTATTTTTCAAAACCACTGGTTGGTTGCCAAGTTAATACATAATTTATCTAACTAGTAGTAAAGGGCTGTTGTTTATAAGAGTAATAATAAGCGATTCCAAGAATCATAAGTGCTGGATTCAAGCTTCACGCATGACTGAACGACATCAAACTTAAACCTGGCCGTTGCTGGGGCATCCAGAAGAAAATGAATTCTACTTTGAAACTGAACATGTTAATATGCAAATTTATGGAAAGCGCATCGTAGGTTGAATGAAAAGCCAACCTAAAAGCCTACAACCCAAAGCCTGGGTTCTTAGGCAAAAAGTAAGTAGGAAAGTTACTACCTTGGGCTGCAGAACGAAGAAGTAGCCAATGCCTTTGGCTTGACAGATGAGCTTGCACCGGTCCTTGGGGGAGACGCCAGCGTACTTGGGTGTCCACTCCACTGGGGGCGCACTCCCGAAGGAAGCTTTGGAGAACTCATTGTGTGCCTCGCATTGTTCCTCTCTGAAAGTTTTTCCTGGAAAGAGAATACGACAATGTTATCAGTTCCCATCCCTTAATTGCCTCTGGGTGGACACACCGTTTCCCACACATTTTCACTCACCATTATTATCTGGACAGTCTTCAATGTTACATGATCGGTATCGCACACGTTTGCCTTCACAGTACTTCCCTCCATTCTTGGGGACTGGGTTGTCACATTCCCTCATCGTATACTGAACACCTCCACCGCAGGTTCTCGAGCAGTCTCCCCAGGGTCCCCAAGGCCCCCAGCTTCCATGAACAGGAGTCTAAATAGGGACACAAGTCATCAGCATTAGATTTCTCTACAGAGACCTTCTTAGGGAATAAAAGAGAAAAATCAGTTATAAAAATAATCAATTCTGTGCCCCGCCTGAGAACAGAGGTAGGGGTGTTCAATGTGCCATCAGACATTCTGACATCGCTGTGTTCAATTCCAAATTTTAAAGGAGTGTGCCCACGAGTATAAACTCACATCAAAATGCTTCTTGTCGGTTTTGTTCACACACTTGCCGTTGACACACCATTTCCCTTCTCCACAGCTGGTGCCGTCTGCCCAGGGGAAGTGTTTGGTTTGGCATACCAGCAACCCGCCAGAGGTGCCCGTGCACCAGAGGGTCGAGCATGTGCTGGCTGCATCTGGGCAGTGTTTGGACTCCTCCCCAAACGTAAACTGGCACTGTCGGTTGGCATCATACAAGGTCCCAGGGAGATCAGAGGGGAGCTGTATGGGACTCTGGGGCTTGTCCATCAAACATTCCCCTGCAAAACAACAACAAACAAACACCGCCAACCAATATTAGTAAATAGTAAATGAAAGCATGTAGGGGGTAGATCAGTTTCAGCAAATGTGTATCTAATTAGCTAATATAATAGCAAAGCGACTTGAAAGTTGTTGAACGTTAGGGAAGATGCCAGAGAAAGTTAAATGAAGGTATTATTCTCCATGGAGTATTTCTGCATGAACAATGACAGGAAATTATTATTCTGCTAAAAACTCAATGTCCGTGAGGGGTCACTAGGCCAGAAGCACTATCTTTTGTTGGAATTAAGATCTAAAACGTGTGCTCTTGGCAGTGAACGTAATAGAAGGGGGGACAATACAAAGAAAAATGAGCTTGTTTAATTAGAACTCTAGACATGGAAGGTTGGAAGCCGTGTAGAAAGAGTAGGTGGAGCATCTTACCATGACCATTATCCAGAAAGGAGGTGATCATGTAGGCACTGCAGGGAGACCAAGGCTGGCTGTGGTCCAAGTTGGAAAGCATCGACGCCATCATGTGGGAGTCCCGGTCGACATTGATGCTGGCGCACTGCTTTGCATCATCGTGTGGCATGTTAAACACGTGGCCTGAGAAGCAATCCCGAAACCCACATTACAACACAGGTCAACTAGCAGCATTTTATTCCCCATAGAGATGCTTCTGGAGGAAAATAACTGTATTTTGGAGACAATGTCTAACTTTTCACAGTGTGGAAACAAACGTACGACATCCAAATAGCCATAGCGCTAACAATCTTATTTTGTATTCTAGTAAAGATGAGCATGTTTAGAATAACTGAAAAATATGTTCTGCAATGTCTAAGGAGCCCTGGCACCCAAAATAGCAACATAACCTATAGACTCTCTCCCTCAAATTAATATTTTGTTTATCAGTTTGAGTTCACAAACTGGGCTTAATGCTTACTCTGAAACAGACTTACCTAATTCATGGGCTGTGGTGAAGGCAGCTTGTAAGCCATCATCTTCGATGACAGAGCAGCTTCTGCTGGGATCACACACAGTTCCAACATCCGCCATCCCAAGGGTATCACACGTCTGAGTCCCACACAGATCCTATAATGAGCAAAGGTATATCCCTGTCAATGGGGACGTAGCATGAATTTTGGGATCTTTTCGGACAGGGTGTATCTTCACATACGTTTTGGAGCATCTACATTCACGACTGTTGAGCTGTCCTTTTAGGAGTATTACATGTGACTTGAATCAAGATTTTTTTTTTCCCTAATACGATTCAAACAAGACTGTGAAACTTGAGGAATTAAAACTATAGAAGAAATAAGGAGATTGAGTGACCATGCTAGCCAATTAAAAAAAAAATGCAAGTGCCAAAAATTGGTGAACTGCCTTAGAGAGATGTGTTACCAGGTGGGTCCCAGGAAGACGTGTTACCAGGTGGGTCCCAGGAAGACCCTGTCGTGGGTGGCTGTCCTCTCACCTGTCTGGTGAACAGAATCGCTGTGTCGTAGTGCTCGGCATCTCGGTCACTGGGCGGGTTGTGCTGCTTCTGCCAGTTGCAGAAGTTGCGCAGAGTGAGGGCAGCGTTGGAAGTCACTTCTGGTCCCTTCTGCTCTTCATAGATGACCAGGATCTTCACCACCACCAGGCTCACCGAATTCCGAATGCTGGGGTGTTTGTACAGCCTGGCTGCCACCGAGAACAGGGTGAGAAGGTAGTTCTTCAGGCCACTGCCGTGGAACTCCGCCATGGACTGGTCAGCCACCAGCATGGTCTCCACGTAACGGGGGCTGGACACAAAGCGCTTCTTTCTTATGCTTCCACTTCCTGCAAAGAAACAAGAAAGATAGTTTGCTCAGGGGCAGTTAGCTAGGAATAGTTACCATCCCGGGGTATATAAGGAAAGACTCACCAGTCAAAGCAAATAAAACAAAAATACACTCGGAACAACAATAACAAAAATATTTGCATCTCTTTGACCGAAAATGTTATTTGTAAAGTTCTCTCATTTATTTTAAATTTAAAAAGGCCATGAGCTCTTGTGAGAGGGTCAGGCTATTTTTTTTTTTTTTTAATATTTACTAATTTTTTTTTTTTTTTTGGTGAGCAGGGTTTCTTTTGTCCTCTTTGAAAGCCTACAATCCAAACCGGGCAGTATGCACACCTTCCTCCCCAGCTGTAGTAAAACCTTGGAGCAAGGGCAGCAGGCAGAGGCCCTGAGTCACTCTTTCGCAGGCCAGGACTCAAATCCTGAATGAGATCATCGGGCTCCACGTGGAAGGCCCAGGGCAGGGCTGGGGCCTCTGCCAAGGGGCCGGGCCTCAAGGAATCTCAGCCTGCACTGCTTTGCAATCTCATTCCAGGGGTCCCTGGGGTGCACTGCTCCTGCCAAATCCAGGCAAAAAGACCACCCACTCTGCCCAGCAGCCTATTGCCCCACTCCGCCGCCCCAGGGGAACACATTCCTGCCTCGAACCACTATTGATTACTTAGAAAAGAGACCTTGACTCCTGAGACTGGGCCCCAGGGAACTGGGCTGTAATCACGTAACCACTTCAGGGAGCAGATGGACCGAGGAAAGTGGAACATTCTAAAACAAGACATGTGAGGAAGTTAAGGAGAATAAAGGCACCAGAGTGAGAGAATGAAAAGAACTAGACAGTAAGCACTGCACACAACAGAGAGAGTCAGGGGACGGCGGAGCAGGATTAGCGGTGACTAATATTTAACAGTGCTTGAGAGCAGAATTATGGCCGCGAGAGGGAGCGCAAACTGGGAGGCCGGGTGGGAGGCGTGGAGAGGCGGGGCAAGCTGGGCAAAGACCTCCCAAGCAGGTTCTGCAGAGGGGCCCCGCGGCCGCCAGTCGGTCGGGGTCAGCCTCCTAACTGGGGAAGGGGCCAGGGGCCAGAGGAACAGAGAGATCTTAGTGCAATCTCGCGGGCTGCACATTCCGAGGTCACCATCGCTCCTCTGCCCCCCGTCCCCGCCCTCCTGTGCGCACAGGGTGCAAGCACAGGCAGAGGTTACAAAACCAGCGCAAAGTTGCAAGGCGACCAAAGAACACATACGCGATCCCGAAACGAAATGAACAGTATTGAAAGAAGTTACACACGCTCACACTCGTCTAAGGTGGAATGAGCTGGTGGGTTACCAACTCTCCCTTCCTGGTCTAAACGCTTCGCCTGAGTCAGCAGAAAATCATTGCTTTTTTTTTTTTTTTTTTTTCGGTTCTGCCTTGACCATTCATTATTCAGGCAAACGTAATTAAGTGTTCTAGCAGGACCTCAAGTCCCATTGCTCCACACCAGGTCTCCGTCCTGTCTGCAAACGGGAGTCTACTAGAAAGTGGGGAGAGGAGGATGAATGGAGAGATAAATGAGAGTAATTCTTCTGGGACGGATACCTGTTGGCTGCCCCTCGCGCTGCGGCTCCGAGTCCCTAGGCCGCCTCTGTGCTTCGGCGCCCTCGCCCTCTGGTCCCACGCCCCTCAGCGGAGTCTCGTCGTCTACCACCCCGCACTTGGCACCGCCGCCGCCCCGCCGCCTCCGTCGCAGGAGATGGAACTGGGGCCGCGTCGGCAGCTCCTCCCCGGTGGCGGCCGGGGTGAGGCGCACAGTGGCGGCGGCGGGCGCGGGCTGGATGAAGAACTCCTCGCCCTGCAGATAGAAAGCGCCGCGCACGCCCTCGCAGAGGCTGAGAGCGGCGGCCGAGCTGGGGTCGCCGTTCACCGTGCCGGAGTAAAAGCAGTGCGCCAGGTCGCCCACGGGGTCGGGGCTTGGAACGTCGGAGCCCTGTCTGCGCCCGACGGTCTGGAGTGTGAAGCTGGGCGCCAGGAAGCCGCGGTCCGGTTGCAGGTCCAGGGTCAGCTGCCGGCCGAAGGCATCGAGGCGGAGGTGCGTGTCCCTGTGTCCCGGGTCTCGCTCCACTGCCGGTAGCACCAGCTCCTCGTCCTCCTCGGCCGGGCGGCCGAGCGCTCCCGGCACGACCAGCACGACCAGCAGCGCTGCGGCCGCCGCGAGCAGCAGAAGCACGGACGCAGGCTGCGAGCCCTGGGACCACCGTGCCCGTTCCGCCTTTCCCATGTCGCCGCCTAAGGTAGCCTTCGAACCCCGCGGGAACCGCTAGCTGCACCCGAGCCCTGGAGGCACCGCGCGCTGCAGCGCACTGAACGAGGAGGCTATTGTTTGGGTCGGGAGTGCAGAGCCTCGCTGGCCTCGCTCTGGATGGTTCAAGTGAACAGTTACTATTATTCTTTGCAAGTTCACGCAGAGCCGGGCTCCGGGAGTCACTTGGGAAGAGGCGCTGCAGTTCAGCCTGCGAACGCGAAGTTTTTCTTCTAAGCGCGGGGTTAGAGGCACCGCGCAGCAGACTCTGGCGGGGTGGCTGCTGCGGGGACAAGAAGCGCCCTGGGACGCCTCTGGGGCGGGGGCACCGGGCCACGCGAAGATCGGTGCCTGGAGCCCCTCTTCGGCCTCCGCCTTAACCAGAGGGCTGCTCGGGCTGTGCAGGGCTCTGTCCTCTTGGCCCAGCTGCGCAACCTGGCTTTGAAACAGCCCCTGGCTCGGAGTGGCTTTCCTGCGAGTGCAAGAACCGGGCACTCGGGATCGCTCTTTTATAGCCTGTGAAGCGGCTCATCCCCTCCCCCCTTCCTCCTCCCTCTTGGCCGCCTTTCCACCCCGAAGACGCCGCCCCCTAAAGTCGGTGCTCGACCGCGCTCGGCGGCGCGGGCCCAGGCGGGGGAGGGGGAGACCTGCGCTGGCTCCGCGCCACCGGCTCGTCAGTCTCTGGCCGGAAGACGCAGGACGGGCGCTGTGACCAGCACATTGTACGTCTGGGGCTGGTGCGGGGAGAGGTACTCACTTCCACCGCGCCTTCCCCTCGGCTGGCTTCCCGGACCACCCTCCCTTCCCGCCGCCCCTCCAGTGCCGGAGCGCATTCGCGCGTTAGGCTGCAGTTCCCAGAAGGGACGAGCGGGGTGGAAAGCCGAGTCCCTGCTCCAAGATTTCACAGCCCAGGAACTGGCCCTGCGAGGCCTCCCCCGCTCACCACCCCTCCCCTCGAACGCCCCTACTCCCCAGACTTGTATGGAAAGGTACCCGCCCCTCCTCGCCATCCCCTTGCCTGCCTCGGGCAGGTTTGCTGCAGTGTGCTTTCTCTTCGCCCCAACTTTTCTCGGAGAAGGCTTGGTTGGCCCAGCGCCTCCCCTAGAAAGCATGCTGGGTGAAGGGGCCGGGAGACGCTTCCCAGGCTCTGGGTTTTAAAACGCGTGTGCACTGACCTTCACACCTACTCCTTCCAACATCCCTCCCCCTCCCGCCGCCCTGGAGCCTTCTCCGTGGGGACCCAGGTCCAGCTTCCGGGAGGGGCTCTGTGGAAGGCGGCCCTACACCCTAGCCTCGGGAGGGAAGTGCGCTTTCTCGTCTTCATTCGAGAAACGATCAGCGCCCGCCCAGCCGCCAGCCGTCCTCGACCTCGTCGCGGCAGCGAGACGCAGGCTGGGTGGCAGAAACGTCAAGGGACCCCGCTTTTCCAGCGAGGGGCTACCGGGATCGCCGGGGCTAGAAAGTGTGCAGCGGGGTGCTTTAGGAAATCGGCTTGTTTCCGGGCCCCTCCCTCTTCCCATCTGGAGTGGAAAAGGCTGCATCCGTGTTGTAAGAGCGAGAACAGCTGAGCCTTTCCACCGTTAGGTCTCTAAGAAAAAGTCGAGCAGCTCTTCCATCGAAAGGAGGGAGGGGCTCGATGACACAGAGGAAGGAAATGTTTCATAATGCTTCCACAGGCGGAAAACCACGGGGACAATAGTGAGAATGGCCGCCGGTCCCGGGCAGACCCGAGTCCCTCGCCCTCTCGCGCTCCACCTCCTGGGCTTCCGAGTCTCCCGTCTCACTGCGCCCAGCCCTCAGTTTCCACCAAGTTTCAAGGCCCTTTCCTCCTCCCCCCGCAGACCTTCCCCACTTCGTTCTGTCCCAGCTAGTCCCCTTCAGCCCTCCCACACAGCCCGCTTCCAATGTTTGCTTTCAGAATACTTTCCAACTTGGATTTTTTCTCTGGGAGTTCTAGATTGCCTACTTGAACAATGGAACCGAAAATTGTGCTTGTTCAAATGAGAAAGAAGGGCCCAGGGAAGCGCACACACTTCACTTGGAAAGAGATTGACAGCATCCCCTGGTCCCTACGCTCTGAGGCGTGCATGCTTTCTTACATGTAGTTTTCTTTGTCTAAGGTCACTGTCATAGTTAAATGCTGAATGAGCAGCTCAGGAATTTTAACAGCAGCTCAAGGTAGCTCAACAACCACTTTTTTCTTTCCTTTCCTCTTGCTTTCGTATACTAACATTTTGACCTTGTTTCTGCCTACCTCCTTTCACAGTATCTCTTTCTAGAACAGCCCATTCCAGTTCTCCTTCAAATTTGATATCAACAGACACACTCATGAGTGGCCACATTCATTTCCACACCGTCCGGCCTCACTTTTTCTGTTCGTCATTGAGGGAAGAGATTTACTCCTCTCTGCTCACAAGTGTCATTTCCCAAACATCCTCACTTGTCAGTTTAGTTTCCAGAGATTGTTTTACACTCCCCTTCTGTTACCAGTTTTTAACATTCAATTTTTAAAATGATTTCTTTTTTTTTTTTTTTTGGCTAGAAGAAATGTTAGATACTTGGGAGAACATTTGAGGAAAGTCACTTTACACGTACAAGATACTAACTATGGAATTGTAAAAGCAACATAGCGAAGCCATCAACAAATGTTCAAACCTCTTGCTTAGAGGAGTGCTCTGGAAACAATATAGGGTGACCAGCAAGTGGGACCTCAAAGTGGCTTTGAGATGGGGTTTCAGACACTTGAGGTGGTCAAGGGCTGGGAGGTTTAATAGAAGACTAAGGGTAAAGGTGAGTTCAGAAGACCAGCAACAAAATGTGTAATTTTAAAAATACTCATGTAGTATATTCTAAACTGTCACCTCCCTACATAAACTTTAGCTTTTGAAATATATGAATGCAAGCTTGACCGTCAGTCCATTTCTGCCCCCAGTACATTCTTATGGAAAGTTTAATACAAGGCGTAGGTTTCCAATCTTGAATGGTTTATTCATAATTTATTCAAACTCATAATTTTTGCATATTTCATAATGTATGTCCAAATAGAGCTGAAAAACAAACAAACAAAAAACAGAAAGCTAAAGGCAAACGGATGGCCAGGAACATGGCTTTTTTATTCACTGGGTTTCTCTCCAGCTTTCTGTTCCTTTACATAATGACTCCAATCTGCCCTGCACCTGTAGTTCTGGGAAATGATTCTTTTCTGATCGCTTCAACAGAGCCATAGATGTAGGAATTGCCAATTACCAAGCTTGAAAAACTCCATCCATACTCAGAAGAACATTTAATCTACCTACTATTTTTTTGTTTTTTAAGACCAGCACTCTTTGGGCGTTTGTGGTATTACATAAATATATACATATAACATATGTATATCTTTAACAAAGTTGCAAATTGAAAAAAATACTTTACTGTGGAAACAAGACCAACAGAAGTAAAATGTGTACATGGTACTAGTAAAAGAGTCCTTGTAAGTAAGTTTCCCACTCGCCTCCTTCATTTGAACCAGCCCCCAAAGATCACATGTCGTCCTAAGTTCTACTGTATTTTCAGCTTTGTTTTTATAGAGTACATATGTGTTTATGCAGACATAAATTTTGATATGTTCTAATTTATAGACTTTTCCCAGTTTTTATTATTTGTGGAGAGGAGCTAACCAAAGTTGAAATATAGGGTGGGGCAACAGTAGATTTACAGTAGTTTGTATGTACAATAGTACAGTAATTAATAAATAATAATATAAAAATAAACTCTGTTTCAGGTAGTCACAACTGTAAACCTACTTTTGCCCCACCCATATTTGACAAAAATATTCTTACAATGAGTGGTTTGACCTTTTAAAAGCATTCTTGTCCTCTATTAACAGAGAAATGAGAATGTTTGGAGCATTTTAAAGTAAGAGAAACAAATGAGTATTTTTACCTCTACCATATAAATGTGTTTGACTTACTCATGTTATAGGCACAATACTCTATTCATAATTCTTAAGAAGTCTACATCAAATTAAGTATTCAGCAACTAGCCATGAAATGAGGGAATCTGGTGATATACATATGCTGTTAGCATTGTTTTAGTGAAAATATTGTCTACAGAAATGATTAATGTACATATTCCATAAAGATGTGATGCTATTTACTCATATTTTCATACCAGAGGACTTATCAACTAGAACTGGGAAAGCTGTTTAGTGCTTCTTTTAGGAACACATGGGCTAAAGTAAGATTAAACAAATGGATATGATCATAAATGAGAAAATAGATACGAAACATTTCTTTAGAGCATGTTGTATATCCAGAAATACAACAAATATTGAAAACAGAAAAATTGATGTAAATTGCATTTGCATTACAAATTGCTGTGACCCTAAAATCACACATTTGCAAGAACTGAAAAAAATGTAATCTGTGCAAACCACTTTCCCTGTTTCACAGATACTGAATTATGTCAAAGGGGCTTGCCTTAAATGTAAACCAACTGGGTGGCTTAGAAATGACTCTGACTCATAATTTCAATCAAATGCCTTTTTGGCATCTTAACTATATAATTGTTTGGTAGGTTAAATATGTTATAAGACTTGCTACTGCTGTTGTTTCCAATCATTAAATTTCATTTAAATTCTAAAGAGGAATTTTCTGGCAATAACAATTCCACCTTAAAAGAGTCACAGCTTTTAGTACCTCTTTCAGCCAGGAGGTGGCGACCGTCTACAGCAAATAAGGTACAGCTCAGTTTTTCTTAGTAGAAGTCATGAATTTGCAAAGTTGGTTATACCATTTCAATTATATTTAATAAAATTTTATCAAATTTTCTTTCACCTTTTGGTATCATGGAATATACCTTTTAAATATGGTAACTTTAAGTATATTTACATCCTTAATAAAATGCTTTAGCCAGCTACTTTTTAATCAAGTAGCTTAAACCAAAAAATTTTAAAAATCAATTAAACTTTAAAAAAGAAAAATACTTTGAATAAGCTAATACTGTGGACCACTTTCATTTGTCACATTTGAGAGCTTTATGCCATTCAAATAAAAAGATCAGAGACATTGCACTGAATCAAATTAAAACCTCACACATTCAATAGATCTTTAAGTACCTACTATATACTTAGTGTATTAGTGCTGGACTATCGATGCTGAAGTTTAATACTTGCTAAAGTTAACTCTTTTCTTGATTTAGAAATTTCCCATAGTAAAAAACAGAAAAGAACTTAATGTGCCCCCCAACATAAATAAATAAATAAAAGTGAGGAAATTGTTCTACCACCAGGTGGTGACAAAAGATAAAATTTAAAATTGCTCCTAAGAGCAAGTAATTCATGCAGATATTTGCCCACCCCCAATGCAAGTGACTTCCAAATGTCGAGTGAATTTAAAATCATATTCTGGGGAAGCTGTGTACCTTACGATGAGCCAATGTTAACACAGCACATTCCTAGCTTAATACATTCTGCAATGAGTGTGGAA